GGCTGGACGGGTCTCGCAAAATTTGCCGGCTTCGACCCCAGGCGGGGTCCGGGACCGGTTTTGAGAGGAGTTGCCCTCGTCCGCCCCCCCCCCCCCTCTCCCCCCGACCGAATTTCTCGGGGCCCACCCAGCGCAGACCCCCAGGCCGCTTCCACCCTCGGAGTACCTCCGGAGGCCTCTTGTGGGCGGCGCTCCTGGTGTCGCCTCCGAGTTCATGCGCGTCGCCCGTGCTGCGAGACTGGCACCTAGGCCACGTGCGCCCAGATGGGTGCCATGTGTCTGTGCCCGCGACGTCGTGGCTCAGACGGATTGGCGGCTTCTGGGCGGCTTGTGCATGGAATCATGATATTTGCTGCTGCTGCTGGCGATTGTTTCAAAAACGTTTTGGACACTGCCGACCCCATGAGAAATATGAGTGCCCCACACCTTCTCATGGATGCCGCTCGTCGAAAGTACTTAGGCATGTCTCGATATCGCAGATCCCAATCTACGTGTACCTCAAGAGTCGACCGGTTCTCCCTCTTCCCTACTCTTCAGGGGGCGGTCGGAAGCCCAAGCTACTTCCAGCCCTTTGCTACTTCAATGTCTCTACCGACTTCTTCCGACGGGCGGGTATACTTGACGCTTGGTTTGTCCCCACCAGCCAACACAGAAACGATGTCCAGGCGAGGTTTTGGGAGAAGAGACGCAGATAAGCTGATAGTGGAAGTAAGACCCCTTTGAGCCTCGCAGAGGCGTCTTGGAGCCACCTTGGAGTTCTCTTGGTGCCCCAATGGGAGCCGATGGGATTGCCTCAGGGCTCTCTTGGAACCCTCTTGGGGCCTTTCGGGTCCTCCTGGTGCCGAGCCATATTGGTGGCCATCTTGGGCTATCCGAGGCCCTCGTGGAGCCGTCTTGGGCAATCCTGGATGTTCTGACATCTAGCGCCCCGCGCCCCCCCCTCGTTCCAGACCACGGGGAGGGTGTAGTGGGAGGGGCAGCCCCCCCCCCCCGAATTGGAACAAGGAGGTCGGGCCCACCGCTCCCCGAAAAGAAAGAGAAATAAGCCCCTCACCGAGAGGAAGGAGCTCTCTGAACCTCCTGCGCCCAGAGGGCTTGTGAGATGTTCCTCATTCGTTGTCTTCTCTTCTGCCTGCTCCCCTGCAACCCTTCCTGTCTCCATCCGCTCATAACTAGCCCCTCCCTTTTCCTTGTCCTCCTCTTTCTTGTCCTCATCGTCCTGCCTCTTCCGGACTGGATCAGGAGCCCAGCAGAGGCTTCCAGGCAACATTTGCATCCGTTCGCACTCCCTGTTCCTATCGCCCCCCCCCCCTTCCCATCTTCCTGCCTCCCTCCTGTTCTTCCCCCTCCCCACACACCACACACACATCCCATCTTCCCCTCCCTATCCCTGCCTCTCTCCGAACCCCCTGCCCCAGCCAGGATCCCCAGCACGCTGCCGAAGTGTGGCATGTCACCGTCCGGTGTGCCCTCGACGCAGATGCCCGGTTCTGGGAGAAGGGTCGGTTCTCCAGGCATCGGCTAGGCGCCCCAGAGCGGCTCCAAACCTGAAAGGGCTCTCCGTTTCGGTTGCGGCGGGGAGTTGCGCCTCCAGGCCACTGCTTACCTTACCAGGTTCCCTGGCGATGAAGGCCTGTCGGCGTTGGGCGTCGCGTCATGTGAGGGGGGCGACACATTGGGGGGCAGCGAGGGCTGCAGAAGCGGGGCCGTTTGGAGACCCTAGATGGAGCCCTCTGGGGCCCAGAAGGGCGCCTGTTCGGGCCCGAAGAGTGCACTTTCCCCCCCCCCCCCCCCCCCCCCCCCCCCCCCTCCCCCCCATTGATCGCCCCCCCCCCCCCCCCATTGATCGCCCCCCCCCCCCCCCATCTTGATCGCCCCCCATTGATCGCCCCAATGACCGCCCCCATTCAGCGACGCCCAACAGTGACGCAACAGGCACACCAATTGCGACACCAGTTGTGCCGAGGCGTGCGCCCCACACGATGGCGGCGCACGTCTCCCGCTGGGGCCGCGGAGCCCCGTTGGGCACCCTGCGCAGCTCGGGCTCGGCGAGATGGTGTGCCCCCTACGTTTTCTTGGCATCGCTCGGCCCTTGATGGGCCTGTTGTCCACCACCACCACCACCACCACAAGTTGGAGGGGGGAGGGGGTCCTCCTCCCCCATCTTCTTCCTCCTCCTCCTTCTCCTCATCCTCCGCCTCCTTTCGCCCCTCCAACTGATGGTGGTGGCGATGGTGGAAAGCAGGCCCATCAGGCCCTGTGCATTCTTCAGGGGCATCTTGGAGCATCCTGAGAAACAGCGCACTGAGTCGAAAAATGCACAGGGAGTTGACATCCGAGTGGTGGCGAGTTTCTCGCCGCAAAACTGGTCGTCGCGTTTGTACACGGAGGGTTTCGAAGCTCGCGAGCCCTCCTGCGTGGCGGTGATGCTGGAGGCTGAAGTCCAGGAACACCAACTTGAAACATGGAGGCACAGCAGGTGCACAAACACAGCATTGATGCGCGTCGTCGTATTGTGTCACTGGCACCGGCGCTCTCGAGTCGGCTATCGACGACATCAGGTCGGCACCGAGTCATGCATCACGTCGAGCATACAGGGGTATCGCAGCTTGCTGTCGACGGAGCCATCCCTTGCAGCCATTGCCGAGAAGTGAGTGGAGCGGCTCATTGCCCGCCTGTGGGATGGGAGAAATTGCTGGTGGGTCGCTCTGCGCCAATGTGAACGGCTTCCTATCCTCCACGCACGAACGGATCTTGATGCCGGCCCGTGCCGAGTTTTATAACATGTCATTTTCATGTTCGGCAGAGCGTGGTTCCGCCGAGCTGGTACACAAATAACCAGAGTCAGTGATTCGCAGGCACTGACGACCTGAGTTCGCGAGTGGTGTTTTTCTTTTGTGCCGGATCACTTACGTTCACAGGGACTGGTGACCTCACTGAGAAGTTGTGCAGGCACATTTTGACCATACAGCGTTGAGGCAGAAGAGGTGTAGAGGAACGCCCCGCTGCACAGCGCTGTTCTGGCGCTGTATGAGCAAGCTCATGCCCGTGGACGCTGGCGTCGCCGCCACTGTGGCGGGTATCGGGGTCGACCTTGTTTCTGGGGCTTCGCTTCGTCCCCCGGGCCGAGGAAGAAGACTTCTGCCTTGACTGCGGAGTGCATCGCGGCTCACGCGCGCCCGCTTGCCTTCGGGCCGACGCGGAGACTGTCTGGGCGACTGGACGCTCGTGGCGATCCCTGGCACCTGGCGTTGATCCGCCTTCTCCTTCGTGTGTCCCCCCACGCGATGGTGGTGGATATTTCTCGACACCAGTGGGAGCTAGACCCGCTCTTTACGTTGGTCTCCTCCGCCTCCCCCCTACGCCCGCAAAACTCTGAGCTTGCCCTTGGTAGTGAAAAACAGAGGCTTGCGAATGAAAGAGTGATTACGGTTTCCACCACTTTCAGTTTGAGGTCGAGAAATTGAGGATTGGGAGTCTTTTTCCAGCAGGATCCACATTCGTGGTGTTATTGTGTTGGCACGTGTTGCAGCTATTCCTCGACCGGAGTGGACGCTGAAGCCGAAGGTGCCAATGAAAGCGTTAGACCTAAGCCAGATTGTTGCTCTTGAAGTCCAGGATGGCCATCAAATCATTCAACGAGATTTGTATTGCCATGCGTGATGCTACGTGCAGTGCCGCAACAGAACCTGTGCGACTGGCTAGTCCACCAAATGCTCTGGCCGGAGACGCAGGTCGTAGTGCAAATACTCCCCCAGGGGTCGAAGGCCTCTCACGACGCTGCGCACCTCCACCATATTTTCGGCTCTGTGCCCCGCGCATGCTTCAAAGATCGCCCCGACACGCCCACGAATTGGCCAGCCGTGGCGCGCACGAGGCGTGGACGGCTGGGCCGCGTGACGCCACCTGGGGGGCCGCCGCCTCCACGAGCCGGCCGCCCCCTGGCGGAGGGAGCCCACGTCGCGGCCTCCTTGCTGCGGGCGTGGGGCCGAGGGCACCCCGCCCTCGGCCCTCAGGGCGCGCGCCCGCGCGCACCTCGCCCGCGGGGCGGCGAACAGCCACGGGCGGCGGCGCGGCGAAGCCTCGGCGCGCACCCCCGAGCGAGCGGCACCGAGGCGGCCACGAGGCGGCCACGGGCCACGACGGCCTCGGCACCGAGGCGGCCCCACGAGGCGGCCACGGGCGGCGACGCGCGGTAGACCCTCCGTGGACCTCCCGAGCGGGCGGCCACGAGGCGGCCGCGCCGTCAGCGCCGCCGCCGCTGCACCCCCCCCCATCGGGGTGCAGCTCTCCTGGGTGCCTCGGCTCCGGCCTGCCGCGGCCGAGCGCCGCCCTGCTCCTGAACCCTGCTGGATCCTGCCTCGCCCCCCTCTGATGATGATGTTCGGCGCAGCCTGCGGGCCCAGGCCTCGAAGGAGGGGAGAGGTCGTAAGCATGAGCTGTCGCAGCTCCGCGCGGATGTCTTGGATCGGCGCAGGGCCCCCTCTGGCGGCGCCTCCGGCGCCGCCCCCCTGCGCGCTCCGCGCGCCAGACAAGGGTTCCAGCACCGATCCAAGAAGTCCGCGCGGACCTCCAACAGTTTGGGTTCCTGCAGTTGTTTGTTCTTCTACGGGTCCGCCAGCCCGTCCTGCTTCCCCAGCTTGACCGGGCCCGCATGGCTCTGCCACGCGCAGACGGGGGTAGGGGGAGGGGGGGAGGCTTCTTAGAAGCGTCTCCGCTTCTCAGAAGGCGCGGGCCTTGTCTGCAGGTGTAAGGCCGGCACCTTCTAAGACGCAGCCTCCTGCTAAGAAGCCCTGCCCCCTCCCCCATACCCCCCTCCCCTCTGCGCGCCGCCACGTGGCCCCTCGGCCCCCTCTCTCGGCGGCCTCCGTGGTCGAGCCGTGCGCGTGCGCGCGACTGGACAGGCCCCGCGCCCACCGCCCGCTCTCTCCGCCCTCCCGAGGGGAGGGGGGCGGGCGAGGGGGGGCGCTGGTAGAAGGGGGGGGGGCTGGCTGGCCCAG